ATTGTTGTTTTGATTTGCATCTCTCTAATGGCTAGTGATCATGAACATTTCTTCATATGTTTGTTGGCTGCCTGGATCTCCTCCTTGGTGAAGTGGTCGTTCATGTCCTGTGCCCATTTTTTAATTGGTTATTTGTCTTTTACTTGTAGAGGTGTTGTAGTTCTCTGTATATTTTAGAAATGAGTCCCTTGTCTGATGTGTCATTGCAAACAATTTTTCCCATTCTGTGAGTTCCCGTTTTACCCTTCTGGTGAAGTCTTTTGATGCGCCTAAGTTTTTAATTCTTAGTATGTCCCAATCATCTATTTTGTCTACTTTTGTTTGTGTAGTTTCAAAATGTTTGGTAGTCTCAGGTACAGTGTATTTTAAACTAAAATATATAATGTCTGAAAAACTTAAAAACTTGAAGAAAAAAAATTAAACCACTTTATTTTCTAGTCAATTGGCGAAGGTTTCAAAGAAGCTGTTCAGTATGTTTTACCCAGGCTACTTCTAGCCCCTGTTTACCACTGTCTACATTACTTTGAACTTTTGAAGGTAAGATAACTTCTCTATGTATAGAACATTCAAGTGTGATGACGTTATAGGTTCATTTGTAAATTATTATGTCAATTCCCATGCACATCAGTGTGTGTCCATTTTGTCTTTTGCCAGTTATGAAGCAAATATAAATAAATCTTTAAAAGACTGGTGTGTTTTCTCCAGTTGTAATAATGAATTTTAAAGCAATTGTCAAGCATCTTTGGTTTGTGACTTTATCTTTTATTTAAATGACTGATTTTTTAAAACACCTTTGGGTTTATGTGTGCAAGTCTCCATTTAGGGACTTCAGATTAAAGAGCTCAGAAAAGTGACCCAGTGATGGGGAAGGGTAGTTCACTTGATTCTCGTAGCTCAGGGTACAACTACCTCCAGGAAACTGCTTATCATTACTTTAGAAATGATGAATCATGTATAATCCCAGTAAAAAATATTTCCATTTGATCACAGTTCTGAACACCCAATTTATGGAAAGGTTTTTTTTTTTAAATTTTTGTCTGCAGAAATTCTGTTGTCAGTGTTACTGATGTGTTAAGTGTTGTCGAGTCAGTTCCAACTGTATAGTTTCCTAGAAGGGGCTGGTAGGTTTGAACCACTGACCTTGTAGTTAACAGTCCAGTGCTTATCTTAGATTGTTAACACTGTTGTTGTTGTATGCTGTGGAGTCAGTTCTGACTCATAGCGACCCTATATAGGGTTTCCGAGGCTGTACATCTTTACAGGATCAGAAAGCCTCATCTTTATCCTGTGGAACAGCTGGTAGTTTCGAACTGCTGACCTTGAGGTTCATAGCCTGATTCGTAACCACTACGCTACCAGAGCTCCTTACACTGTTTACACTTGTTGTTGTTGTTAAGTGCCTTCGAGTCGGTGCTGACCCATAGCGACCCTGTACAGGGTTTCCGAGGGTGTAAATCCTTACGGGAGTAGAAAGCCTCATCTTTCTCCCGCGGAGCGGCTGGTAGTTTCGAACCACTGACCTTAAGGTTCGCAGCCCGATTCGTAACCACTACGCTACCAGAGCTCTAGGTCCCCATAAATTCAATAGTGTAGCACAAAATGATTTGTTTTTTCATATCTAATGAATTCTCCTTTGGATTTTAAATAATATTTCTTACTATAAGGAACTCTGGTAATGTGGTTACGCATCAGGCTGTGAACCTCACGGTCAGCAGTTCGAAACTACCAGCTGTTCCGCAGGAGAAAAGATGAGGCTTTCTGCTCCCATGAAGATTTGCAGCCTCAGAAACTCTGTACAGGGTCGCTGTGAGTTGGAACTTACTCCACGGCACATAACCACCACCACCACTATAAAAACATCAAATTATTTTTTTCATGATTTTTAAATAATGGCTGAGATAATGACATTCTATTTACTGTTAATGAATTAACCTCATAAAGATAAAATAAGACATGTGCTTTAATACTGCTAGTAATTTTTAACTTTTAATGAAATATTTTGTTAAAGAAAAATTCTGTTAAAATACCATAAATTTCTTATGGAGAATGTATTACTAGGAATCCAATTTATAATTTGTAGAGCAGATTAATAGGCCCTCTCTAATGAATCAGTGAAAGAATAGAATGCCTTTGAGTTTAGGAAACCAGAGGAACTCTGATGCCTACCTTTTTCTTCCATTTTCCTAGATCTTTTTGTGTTAATAATAATTTGGATTTTAGGTATGTTTTTCAAGTAGGACTGTTAGAATTGGGGAGAGACTATGGAAACTATAAGGTAACATTTCCTCATATATAGAACTTCAGGACTCTCAGTCTTATCTCTCTGTTCCAAACCCCGAAAAGCACACCAGTGAAGGTCTTTGATCATACGCAATGATTATTTAAAGAGGATAAGTAAAAGGAAGCATTTGGTGTTTCAAATCATTCTTAACAAGGAATTCATGATGAAAAATCCTAGGTATAGTGGGAGATTTGCAAACAGCTTTGTTATATAGAACCCTTCTGTATAATGGCATATATGTCCAAAAATTGGATTTTTATCTGATCCTTTAATGAAATTCTGAACACTTCAAAGACCAAGTGAAACTTCAAAGCAGTTACTAATTTATAAATATGAAAAAGATGCTTTGTGAACATTTGTTATTGTTCCATCGAGTGCCATCGAGTCGGTTCCGACCTACAACGACCCTGTATAGGGTTTCTGAGGAGCGGCTGGTGAGCTTGAACCACCAGAACCCTATAAAACCCAATATACTGCTAATCTTGCAATATGACTTAGACAGAAAATATGAACCAGGGGTTATGCACATGTTACCAACATCTTGATGTAATATAAAAGAAATTAATTGTATTCCAAGTACAGATCATTAAAAAAATTTTATTTTTAATTGTCCCTTGTCATAGAATTTTGTCATAGAAAATTGTTCAGCAATTTAAAGATTTCTACTGGAGTTTTGACATGTGCATCACCCCTGGTTTATATTTTCTGTCTAAGTCATATTGCAAGATTAGCAGTGTATTTATTGGGCAGGAAGCTGATAAATTCATCCTGCAGACTCTTATTACTGTATTTTAATTCCCTGAGTATTAAAAATATTAATATACTATTTGTACTTATCTTTAATTTATATTTGCTGGTATCTTGCTTGATTAAATACTTCATTAAGCAGGAGTTTCATACTATATTCTGTGGGATGATAGTCACATGGCATACTCTAAATAAAAAGGAATGGAATGGGGGAGTGGGTGTTTAGTGGTTAAATATATTTGGGGACTATTGCTTCTTTAATCATAGCCTTGGTGGCACTGTGGGTTAGACATTTTGAGCTGCTAACCACAAGATCATTGGTTCAAACGCACCAGCTGCTCCATCTGAAAAAGATGAGGCTATCTGTTCCAGTAAATTTTAGTCTCTGGAACCATATATAGGGTCTCTATGAGTTGGAATCTACTTGATGGCAGTGTTTGGTTTTGGGTTTGGAATCATTGTCTTAGAAATTTTCTATTAAAGCCTTTGCAAAATGGTGCAATAAAGCAATCTAATTGTTTTCCAAGGTTTCCTAAACTAACTACACCATGGTGGTGGTGGTGGTTATGTGCCATGGAGTCGGGTCCGACTCATAACGACCCTACACAGGGTTTCCGAGGTTGTAAATTTTTACAGGAGCAGAAAACCTCATCTTTCTTGCGCGGAACAGCTGGTAGTTTCGAACTGCTGACCTTGTGGCTCGCAGCCCGATTCATAACCACTATGCTACCAGAGCTCCTTAACTACACCATGGAATCCTTTAAAAATGTAATAAATTTATGTACTTTTGGGAACATTTATAGGCGATACCTTCTTTTTAAATGGACTGAAAGATTTCCCAATTTATAAGGGTCTAAGATATTTTCATCTACATGATTCTTATTGGTCCCAAATTTTTTGGGTTTTATGCATATTGCTATTGCACCAGGTACCAGTCTGGAGTAGGAATTTCTGGACTCAGCAATGGTTGCATAAAATTGGGACAATGGGAGGCAGGCAGCAAAACCCTAAGATACAAATGATGATTGAAAACTAGCTATAATTTATCTGTGGTATGGAATGATTTTTGAAAGCTCACCAGACAAGGTAGGAGCCTGTTTGTTTCTTGTCCAGTTTTAGCTACATAGCCTACTAGCTGTATAACATGTGGTAAGTTACTGCACTGAAGTGCTTATCTCTGTGGGTTGTTTCCATGATCAATATAAAAATACTTAAGATATAGGAAAGAATATGAATATTCAGTATTGCATTGAGAGTTTTCTTGTTGTCTCTCTACCACAGTGTCCTGCAAATACCTTAAACTTTACCATTTTACTCCTTCTCTTCCTCACTTTTTGCTCTTCCTCTCTCACTGTCTAAATCTGTACCTTTTCCTTTATTTCATTTTTGTTCATCATCTGACCAGTTCTGGTCCCCTCATCATAAACCTTAGCACCTTCCTTGGTTCTTGTGTCTCCCTTACTAACAGATCATCATGATTTTACTGTGGACATGTCTCTGGAATCCATTCTGTTTCCTCCATTCTATTTATTGCCCTTATCTTCCTCATCTTTTGTCTGGACTACTTCCTGAGAAGCATCCTCCTGTGTGACCTCTGTACCTCCTTGAACTCACCTATTGAAAAGTACACTTGGATCCCTTTCAACTGAAGCACAGTCTAAAATTCTCCAGCATCAGCTTTATGCTTTACCAGTTGGATCCCTTTCAACTGAAGCACAGTCTAAAATTCTCCAGCATCAGCCTTATGCTTTACCAGTTGCCATCAAGCCAAGCCCAATTCATAGCGACCCTTTAGTGACCCTGTAAGCCAGTAGAACTGCCCCCATAGGATTTTTGAGGCTATAAATCCTTAACAGAGGCAGTCTGCCATATTTTTCTCCCATGGTACAGCTGATGAGTTCAAGGCTCTGAGCTCTTAACCACTGTGCCACCAGGATTCCTACCTTATGCTTTAGCCATAAAGAATTATGTATCACCATGGATATCTGTTTAGGGTTCCATTTATTTGCATTTACTTTTCTTTTTTTACTTTTACCTGGAGTTCCTCTTCTTTCACCTCTGCCTTCCCTTTTATCTGGAAACTTCCTACTCGTCAAACAGTTTGTTCAAATGTTACTTCTCTAAAGTTTCCCTCAGTTCCCGAGGCTAAGTTAGTCTGTCCTCTTACTGTGTGCCCCCTCATACTCTTCATACCTCTTTATAGATCCTGTTCTGTTGTTGTTGTTGTTGTTTTTTGTCTGTCTTGTCATTAAGCTTGGTGCTTCCTCTGTGAGGGCGGGACCTGAGCCTTATGCATCTTTGAATTCTCATGTCTAGCCTTGTGTCTGACACTTAGGTGTTCAGTAAATGCTTATTAAAAATGAATGGCAAAAAGAAAATAAAAGGTTTTTCTTGTTGTTAGTTACCATCAAGTCAGATCTGACTCTTGATGACCTCAAGCACAACAGAATTAAATAGTCCTCAGTCCTGTGCCGTCTTCAGTCGCCGGTACGCTCAAGCCCAGTGTTGG